CCATTTCCCTAACTTTGTCCCATCACTAATTCTAGGCAATCCCCTCAAGCCATCCCATGACTCCCTCACCGCTTTCCTCTTTCCGCCAGCACTATCTGAAGTAGTGCAGACCTTCTTACCTGCCTCCTGACTGCTCTTCCTGCTGTCAGGCTTTCTTCTGATTCTGTACTGTGTCTGATTGATCTCTGTAAAATGTTACATCTAAGCCATGTCAGATTTCACTCCCTTCAGGATTAAAGCCAAGCTTCTTAGCCCTGCATTCAGAGCCCTTCATTGGCTATTCCCAGCCTACCTTTCCAGCCCTCTCTTCCGCAATGGCACCTGCCTCCTGCTCCAGCTGCATCGCTCTGTTCACCAGCCCCTCAACATGCCATTCTTTCTCTGGACCTTCCCAGCTAATTCCCACCTCTTTCCTGCCACCTCTGTCTCTCCAAATCCCACCCATCTTTTGAAGTGCTCTGAAGTGAGCTTCTCCATGATGCCTTCTCTGGTCTCCCCATCCTGAAGTGGTCACTCTTTCTGCAGAACAGCCAGAGTATTTTATCTTTTCCTTTCAGTGCTTTGGGTGGTCTGTAGACCAGCAGCATGGATATCACCTGGGAGCTTGTTAGAAATGCAGAATCTCAGGCTCCACCCTCCTGTGCCCTGTGGAGTCAGAATCTGCATTTCAATGAGATCCCCAGGTTATATTTGTGTGCACATTTGAGTCTGAGAAGCACTGGATGCTGTGTTCATTGAGGGCAGCATCTTGCTTCTGTTTGGGAGTGGCCTTCAGCCAGGGTGTTTCCTAGTGGTGTTCTCAAGTGCCAAGCCTGGCAGCCTTTGTCAGGTGACAGCTGCCACATCTGGCCAGGTTCCATAAGCTATGAGATGGGGTGGCTGATGGAAATGGCTGGAAAGCATGTGCACTCTGCCTGGATGCTTCCACCTGGAATCTATGCCCCACAGGGTGGCAGAGCTGAAGCTCTATAAATCTGAATCTGGGAAGCACTCTAGAGACAGGAGGAATCAATTAATCAATAAATCAATAATCAATTGGAGGAGGAGGAATCAATTAATCAATTACTCAATAAAAAGGAAGAATCAATTATCAATTAATCAATAAAAGACAGTCATCAAACGTAGGACAGAACTGTTCTCTGTCCACAACACACACATTGGTGGAAATTTTATTTTAATGTATGCTACTTTAATCTATGTTTTGAAAAGAAAAATACGTACTTTAGCTTTTTCTTTATGACACTGTTAATAGTTTCTAAAGTAGTAACTTTAGAAAACACAATATGTCACGTGAAGAAAATAAAAATGATTCACCATTCTACTACCCAGCTATATCACTATTTTAGATCACTGTTCATTCATTCAACAAATATTTACCGAGCCCTACTATGTGCTAAGCACTGGGGATTGAGGGTGAAGATGGCATGGTTCCTATTTTCAAGCAGCTCATAGCCGGGGGTGGGGTTTGGGAGACTGAAGGAGTTAGGACCAGGGGTGTATTTGTTTCCCAGGACAGCTGTAACAAAGTATCACAATCAAGGTGGCCTAAAACAACAGACATTTATTCTGTCACAATTCTGGAGGCTGGAAGTCTGAAATCAAGGTGTCAGCAGGTGTCTGTTGGTTCCTTCTGAGGGAGGCTGTTCCCTGGCTCTCTCCTGGCTTCCAGGGACAGCAGGCAATCCTTGGGGTTCCTTCACTTGTTGTATCACCTCAATCTCTGCCTTTATTGTCACATGCCCTTCCCTCTCCATTCTATCTCTGTCTCCACACGGCCATCTTCATATAAAGACACCAGTCATATTGGGTTAGGGACCCACCCTACTTCAGTATGACCTCAGTTTAATGAATCACATCACATCCAAATGAGGTCATATTCTGAGGTACCAGGGGTTAGGACTTTAACGTGTCTTTGTTGGGGAGGACACAGTTCAACCCATAAGAGGCAAGGACAGTACTGGGTCTGGAAGAGCACGCCAGGGGGACTACCTTGTCTGGAAAGACTCCTAGGACATGACATTCAGAGTGGGACTGAGCACTAAGTAGGGATTAGCCAGCAAAGGTGGCACGGCAGACAGATACTGGGTCCTCGGAGTGTGAGGGTGAGGGTGGGCTGGAGGAGAGCATTCCAGGCTGGCAGGGGACAAAGTGGCACTTTTGAGGAGGGAAGGAATATAAGTGTAGGGTGGAGGGTATACCTCAGTGGTAGAGCGTGTGCTTAGCATGCAGGAGGTCCTGGGTTCAATCCCCAGTACCTCCAATAAAAAAGCAGTAATAATAATAACAAAAAGCATGTAAGTGCAGCCGGAGTGCAGAGGAGGGGCGGGAGTACAAGGTGGCAGGGTCACTTCACTTGTGGGCCTCGTGAGGGGCTTTTACTTTCTCCTGAAGGGAGTGGGGAGCTACCGGAGGCTGTCACGCAGGAGTGATTCATTCTGCTTTGTGAGCCGTCTCCTCACAAGACTGAGCTGTCTGAAGGCTGTGTTGTTCCTCTGTGAACCCAGTTCTGCAGGAAGACACGTGGTCATGTCCTCAGGAGCCCCCTGGCTGAGAGAAGACACATGGTAACCCATCTAAGGAAGGAAGGCCTGACCATCTCCCAGCAGCCCTTAGTCCAAGTAGGGAAGACAAGACTTGCCCTCAGGAACCCTGTTCTGAAAGGAAGACAGGGCTCACCCAACTCTAGGTCTGCTTCACCTTGGGTGTCCTGAGTCCTTGGAGTCTGGGGGACTCAACTTGGGCCTGGCCACCTGACCCCCTGTGCTGCTGTGAGGACTATGAGAATGTGTCCGGGGCAACTGCATGACCTCTGTGGGCCCCTGAGGCCAGAGGCCCCAATGCTGGGGGAGACCGGGGCTGAGTCTTGCAGGGGCTGGGTCCTCAGCACCCTGCTCCCCTCAAGAGATGTCTGGATATTGCCTTCGTATCAGGACGCAGCCTATTTGGTGCTCAATCCATCCCTTACCACACCCTCAAAGGGCTGCCCCTTTACCATGTGATGGGAGAGCCCCTCCCCTGCCCCCGACCCAAAGCTGCCTGTGCCCCTTGCCTGGGCTGGGTGGGCCAGGCTGGGTGGAGCAGAAGTGGGTCAGCTCAGTAGCCATGGAAACAGCAGCTGCTCCCTGCCAGCCTTCTCATGTCCTCACTACAAACCTCATGATGAGATCCTTTGTCCAAATTGTGGGGATGGAAGCCAGGAGGGTGAGATTGGGGGCCAGAGTGTGTATGAATGTGTGTGTGCAAGCTCACGCAAGTGCCTGCTCAGAGCTGGTGTGGGTGCCTGGCCAAGGGACCGCACAGATCTGAGTAAGACATTTCCTGCCTTCCTGCCCACTGAAGGGATGGGGCTCTTTCTGTCTCTCTGAGCTGGACAGAGGCCAGGGTGTGTGAGTGTGTGTGGGTGTGAGTCTGCGAACGCCTGTGACTGTCAGTGTGGCTGCTTCTGTGTGCTTTTGTGTGGGTGAGTGTCTCGGGGATTTGTGCATATCTGTGTACACATGTGATCATGTCTTTGTGTATCATTTGTGTGGATCTTCATGGTGTGTGATCACACATTTGAAATTCGATACCCCGTGTCTCTCCTTGTGTGTAGTGAGTGTGCGAGCCTGGTTTGGGGGAGACAAAAGTCACACAACCAGGAGAGCTGGCAAAGTGCTCCCAACTCAGGCTGAGTGTGCTCCCTAGGCCCAGAGGGAGCTGCACCACACACTGGCCCTGTCACCCACCTGCTTCTCCCTGAGCAGGGAGAGGAAAGGCTAGAAACAAGGGAACCCCTTCCCAGTGGATGCAGGTAAAAAATACATCTTACTTCATGAGCTAGTTCTCATTAGTTGTTGAGGCAGCACTGTGTTAAGAGGGATTCTGAGGTTAAGTCTGGCCTCTGACCTGAGCACAGATTGGCACCGGTGATGTGGTGGACAGCTCTGGTGCTGGATGAAGGTTGGGCAGGGGTCTCAAATGCCAGATCCAACATCCACTGAGGGGTGAGGAGCTGAGATGCTGGCAAAGAAGAGCACAGCCTCACATGCCAGCTCCCACCTCAACTGAGAAGTGCAGGGACCCAGATCCCACACTGATCCTGGGCTCTCGGGGGAAGCACTCAGGGCTGGAGTGGGAGGTGATCCTCTTGGCCTTCCCGTGAAGTGGTTGCACCTGGCGTGCAATCTAGACTAATGAGCACTAACACATGTGAAGTCCTTTCCCGTTTACAAAGGCACATTATGAATAGTAATAATATAATTGCCCAGCTGAGCATTTAGCATGTACCAATCCTTATGTTTGCAATATTTCATCTAAGAATCCTAAAGCAGGTATTATTATCTCCACTTTAGGGATGAGCAGCTGTAGGCTCAGGGCGTTTGTTAAGGAAATTGCCCTGCGTCATACAGCTTGTAAGTGGCAGATCTAGGTTTTGAACTAAGTCTGTCTGCCTCCAAAGCCTGTGCTTTTAATCACTGTGTTTTCCTGCTGCTTGTTATCTCCTCTGATCCCCAGTCCAGGCTGGAGAGCCGGGTTGGGTCCAGGTGGTATGTAGACTCCTTTTATAGAAGAAGAGATGGAGGTTCAGAGATGCTGAATGACCTTCTCAGGTTTACACGCTGGGGGTGGACCCAGAAGTTGGAAAGGTGGACCCACCCCCTGACAGCCCCTCCACACACACACAATCCTGACTGCTGGTCGTGTCACAGTGTCTGGGGAGGGATATAAACCCCCTTGGTCAGGAAGAGGACAGAGGAAGGAAAAATAGGGTCTGAAGCTCCTTAGCAGTTGGACCTGGATGAGTCCCTTGGCTTCAGCACCAGCAATTTGACATTAAAGTGCTTAAAGGCAGATTAGGGGACCCAGGAGTTCGGACAGTTTTACAAAGGAGGAAACAGCATCAGAGAGTTTAAATGATTTGCCCAAGGTCACACAACTATCTCCAAAGTCTATCTTTTTACTCCATGAGCTACTGGAAGCCCTGGAGGACAAATGTCTTCTCTAGCCCTTCCCCTAAGCTCCCCTCTTTCCTTCCAGACTCTTATCACATCACTTCTTCCTGGGATCTACCCTGATTGTCTTCACCTCCTTCCTTCTTGAAAACTGGTGTCTCAGCAGAAGTTAACAGAAGGCTTGTGTAAATGCCCTAAGGGCGTGCTGTTGGGAGGGGTACAGCCCCCTGTGATGGGAACACCACGCTCAGATTCATCAGTTTGGTGAGTTTGGGTTTTCTTCCAGATGAGAGCTGGGGAGGAAGCACCTGACAGGTGATGTGGGACCTGGGAGTTAGGAGTCTTGGGTTGGAGCTCTGGTTTTGTCAGCAACTTTCTGTGTGGCCCTGGGTGTGTCTCTTTCCCATTCTGAGCCTTGATTTCCTCCTCTGCAAAATAAAAGGCTCAGGTTGGAATAGGGAAGCAAATCAGTTTTACCCCATGAGCTGGTTCTAATCAGTTGCTGATGCAGCTCTGTGTTAAGAGGGATTCTAAGGTTAAAAAATCTGGCCCCAATGAGAGAATGAGATGGATTAGTGATGTCTGCTGTGGATGGAGGATAGGAAGGGATGGTAAGAACCTTAATAATTTGCCGTCCCTTCCAGCCTAACAGTCCATCACCCTATGACATTCCTTGGTCATTTCTGTTGAAGGGATGAGTAGCTAGATTCATCTTGGGCTTTTGATTAGTCTCACTGACTCTCAATAAAAGATTCATTACTTGGTTAGATACATGTTCAAAGGGACCACAGGGCCCAGGGTGGCCAGGCAGAGCCCAGAGTCCTGCTGTTGTCAGGATCCAGGAGAGGGTTTGGGGAGCCCTTAGGGTACTGAGATCCCAGAGTAGAGGCCAAACACTGAGGGCCAGAAAGAAAACACTAGGCTCTTTCCTCGGGGAGCTCAGAAGGTACCTGTGGCATGGAGCTTGGCAGGAGTGGGGACCAGCAGCCTTCCTCTTTGGAGGGCTTGTCCAAGCTGCAGCCATAGATGCTACTGTAGCAATAGATAGGAGTCAGCAGGGAGAGCTGCAGGATGAGGTTCCTGTGACCCAGCCAAATCATGGAGGGTTTTCTTCTGCCGGGAGCCATGACCTGGGCTGGGAAAGGGACAGTCTGCTCAGAGGCAGGGAATTGTTGAGGTGACTTTCGTAGAAATTCATTTAGCAGTCCTGTAGAACCACCAGTATATGAAGTGCTGTGTTCTGTGTCCTGCCAGCCTCTCACCATTCGGCTCCCATCTCTGCCTGCAGCCCCTTTCCCACCCCTGTGGTCTGATGGCTCGAGGTAGGGGCTTGTTGTGAGTAGAACATCCCTTCTTATAGGGGCCAGGTGGTC